TTTTTTTTTCTCCGCCAACACTCAAATTTTGCCTATTTTCTGTGGAGGTGTTCCTTAGGATATCCTGCTTTCACAGTTTAGCAGCTGTCTGGGATAGTAACATAAACCAGAAGCCAGACTTTCTGCTCTCTGTGTCAGCTGGCTTTTCTTTTTTCCTCCTGCTACCCGACACGGATTTTGTTCATACTACTGTTTTCTATAATACATGAGAGAACACACTAGAAGTGGGAGCATCAGCCCCTACTTCTTGGAACACAGGTGGTTGGCAGCCCTTCTGGCCTCTGTGCCAGGTGACAACCGGCTCCCCCCCCCCTGTTGTTTTGTTCTTGGTTGCCCAAAGCTGAGATGACGTGCCAGCTTGGTTAGTTAAGTTTGGACAGTTTCTACATTTGACACCCACCGCTTTGGGGTACAACCGATTCCGCTCCCTGATGAAAAGGCGGTTGCTGCTGTTCTTCTAACAGCAACTCTTCCTGTTGCTTCAGCATTTGTTCCAGCTCCTCCTGTACCTCCGGTCAGTGCTCCGGCGCCTATGCCTCCTGTTCACCCACCACCGCCCATGGATGATGAGCCTGCCTCTAAGAAACTGAAGTCTGAAGACAGCCTCATGCCGGAAGAGGAGTTCCTGAGGAGGAACAAGGTGCGCAGTTAATAGACTTGTAGACAGACAAGTTGTTTTTTCCTTAGGAGACTCTTCCAGGGTAGATTGTGGATTAAGGATAACTTTCCATGTCAGTGTCTGGATAATCGGCTCCCCTTTGCATGCCAGTCCAGTTTGGTCGTGGGTGACCTACTCCCCACTTGAAATTCAAGCAGATAGGTTTGCGGTTTGCAGGAAAATGGCACCAGAATGTTGGGAACTAGTAAAACCAGTGTCAAGCAAGGGGGAAGCAAAAGGGTTCTTGCGTTTAGCCTCTCTGTCTGTTCTCTTATTGGCTCCTGTTCCCTTCCCCTGGGATACCTCTGCCTGTCGCTCATGGTGTTTCTCCTTTTAGGGCCCTGTCACTGTCAAAGTCCAGGTCCCCAACATGCAGGACAAGACCGAATGGAAGCTGAATGGGCAGGTGCTGGTCTTTACGCTCCCTCTTTCTGACCAGGTAAGCAGCCCAGGGTTACCCTGAGCAACACATGGGGGGGGCAATTTCTGCATTCACAGAGGCTTCTTTCCTCTTCAGCATGTCTTCTGGAGGTCAGGGACTCGTTTTCATGCCCAAACATGACCCCACCAACCACCATCTTAAGCAGATGGGCTACACTAGAGAAGTCAGCACTTTTCTGTCCTAGCTCAGTCGTAGGTCCATGCCACCATGACCTGTGCTTTGAATTGATTGCCGCTTTGTGTTTTTCCATTTGGAAAAAGATGGCGAGACGTCTTGCCGTGTTTTGTTGCCGAATACGCGGCCCGTTCCTCAGCGATGTTCCCGAGCTGTGAG